ATTTAAAACTATTTAACATATTGGTACTATGTTGATACTCTCTACGGCACCTACTGTATGATGGCATAGCGATGACGTCACACTCAAGCCAATCAGCGTTCAGAAGACAGACTCGTCGGATTGTGTCAGATAAGCTGATTGGTTAAAGCTGAGCTGGTTGGAGCTGATTGGTAAAAAACCAAAGCCTCGCCGCGGGTGGCTGTATTGTCGGATAAGAACGCATTCCTGGGATAAGGACGCATTCCTGGCGTATTTTCTTTTAAAATTGCCGATAACTACGAATGGAGGCCGAAATCGGCCGTAAGGAGGTAAACACATAGGTTTTCGGACACGGGCTACAAGATGGCTATCTCAGTTTCAATCCCCATGTTAAAGGTGGCCCTTTTCCTTTAACTCGTCGAAATGAAATCAGGCGGCGTTGTCACGAGGTACGGACTACTTCACGGCTCTCCGCCAGTTCGCCGGCGCTTCCAGACGTGTGGTCGGTGCATCCGTACCGGGCCGGGCTACCACACGGATACAACCATTACGCCGCGGGCGGGCGGCCCTCTACGGACAAAACGACGGCACGCATCGCGCGCGTGACGTCCGAGCCAAATGTGCGCGTCATCCACCGCTAACACCAGCAATGAGCGAAAAGGAATCCACAGACTGACATCCAAATACGGCGGGCTGACGTCCGGCTATGGCCACCTCCACAGGGAGGTGAATTACCGACAGACAGGCGCGCTGCCGGGAGGATGGGAGCTCCCACAATCGCTCCTAGTTTTTACCAAATCCATATGCCGCCGGGATGAGATGATAGCCACCGGTCACTCCGCGGGCGACAGATCGACTGACGATTGGCGGACAGGTTGGTGAAATTACACAGACACTCGGTGGCTTATCCGACCGAGGTACTTATGAAGGTTGGACGGGTAGATGTAACATGAGTCCGAGTCCTGCTGAGAAAATAATAATAAATGTAATAGGATGTCATTCTTTAATCTACACCAACACCATCAAAAAGAAGGCCAGCTAATACAAGATCACCGACTGACCGAAGCTGTTTTTCACTAATTCGCAAACAGTCCCTCCGATATAGGTTGTTGCCATATGCTTCCCAGCATTTTAGCTTTAGCCGGGATGACGGGAGCCGCCCTCTCCCCAGGTCATAGCGCCCTCTCAGCTCCCCTAGTCCCAAGGCGTGGTGACCGGACACAGCCGCCCCCCCCCCCTCCCCGGTCCCCGGGCGTGGTGGCCGGACACAGCCGCCCCCCCCCCCCTCCCCGGTCCTCGGGCGTGGTGACCCGACACGGCCGCCCTCTCTCCGCTCCCAGGGCGTGGTGCCCGGGCCCTCGACAGCGCGGCATCACACACGCATTCCGCGCCGACCACTCGGCCGCGATCGTAATCGAGCCGTGTGTTTATTGGAGCCGTCGCCGTCCGCGGCAGCGAGAGGCGGCTAAAAACGACGGCCCGGCGCACTGGCGCACCGGCCGGAGACCGCTGAGATGCACCGCGCCGGCCGACAGGCTCCTCGGAAACGGACCGCGGCCGGACCGACTCAGATACCGAGATTAAATGCTAATGACACGCCGGTGAAACGGCCATCCGGCCACGCACGGCTCGCTGCTGCCGCCGGCTCTCAGCACCGACAACGAGAGCGGCAGTTGTCACCCGGGGATTAAGTACGCATTGACGGCTTGTGGGACAGGGGCACGAAATTGCGTGCGGCGGTCATAACAATAGCGTGCACCTTCCTACTGCGGGGATGTGGGAGCGAGGGATTGGGGAAAGAGACGGAGAGAGAGAGAGAGAGAGAGAGAGAGAGAGAGAGAGAGAGAGAGAGAGAGAGAGAGAGAGAGAGAGAGAGAGAGAGAGAGAGAGAGAGAGAGAGAGAGAGAGAGAGAGAGAGAGAGAGAGAGAGAGAGAGAGAGAGAGAGAGAGAGAGAGAGGTTCATTTTTCTCTAGCTTTTAACACGGTGACTATAAATAGCTTTTAAGACTCGGTTCTTTCTCCATAAGTAATAGATGACTTTGTGTGATACCTACGAAGCAAAATGATCTAGGGATTAGAGGTGGCAAAAGATGAAAAATTTGGGAACCAGGCCCGACTGGACATTTTTGGAACCAGTCGGACCCGGTCTAAGTTGGAATCGGAACCAGTTGGACCCGTTCCCCAAAAGTCAATTAACCCGCGCACCGACGGGGGTCTGCGCCAACTTCGTACCGACGGGGGGGAGGCGGATGACCCCCCCCCCCTGAGATCTCCAGAACGGAGCAAGATAGCGACAAGCAGTAAACGGCATCGGATACGCACGGTCAAGGTCTACAATTTTTACTAAGGTCATTTTCAGGTCAGGTCAAAGATGACGTCACAGGGGTCGAAAAAGTCAAAATGGCGGCGCTAGATATGGAGAGTTTTTCTCGAATAACTTTCGAATTAGTCAAGATAGGAACAAACTAAGGGCATCATCGTGATCCTCTCGTCAATCCGCATCGAATGATATATATGTTGACCTCGAAAGGTCAAGGTCAAAGGTTGACCTCAGGTCACGTGACCTCGAGGTCATCATGTATATCATTCGATGCGTCTTGACGAGCTGAACACAATGAGACCATCCGCGCGGCTGTATCTTGTTCCTGTACGGAGTTATTGGCAAAAAACCGCTGGTGACCTTTGATGACGTCACATGACCTTACAGCTGCCCAACAGCAAAACAGACCTCAAGGTAGTGAAGGTTGATCGTATATGAAGTCATGTATGGTATATGGGGCCATTCCGACCCGTTTTAGTGGTAAAAACAGGGAGTTGATTTTTCCCCATTGACTTATAATGGGGAGGTCGCGAAATTGACCTGACCTTAGGTCACCGATATCAAAATTCCGAGATATACAAATTGTAGCTACTAATGACCTTATAACATCCTGCGACTTTCAAAGGCCTCCGACATCTACTGTAGCTCTGGCACGGTGACAAAGTTGCAAAAAAGTGACTTGAGGTTGGGTCATTCAAAGTGACCTGGTGACCTGACCTTTAAAGTTAGGAGGTTCAAACTTGCACACCATGTGTAAAATTGATGAGGGAATAGTCGTACCAAATTTCGGGCGCGTGCGCCGCGGTTTTCCCGCTATTTGCGAAAAACCTCAGGGGGGGGGGCGGATATCCGCCCCCCCCGTCGGTGCGCGTGTTAATAGAAACTACTTGTAGGTATAATTATTTGCATCATGTAAAACAGCCTTTTTCCCACTGGGAATTATCATGAGCTACTGTGTGCAAAGAAACATTCACTTCATATTTTGCAATAATGTGTAGTGTGCAAGATGTATAGTTTATGGTAGGACCCGGTTGAACCCGTCAGAAAATTTCTAGGAACCGGTCTGGACCCATATGAGTCCAGACTGGTTCTTTGGACCGGGTCCTCGGGTCCAAATTTTGGCACCTCTACTAGGGATTTCGAAGCCGACCACTTTTTGTCACATCCAAACAAAAAAGTATAACCGAGCCGATACATGTGGACGAAAATTCGAATACGCCTGTCGCTAGATCCGTGTTAGAAATAACTGTTGTTTCAGTATCATTTAATGGCCACCCAATTACTCCGCCTCGGCAGCCGAATATTGAACGTATCGGGATCACAGCATATCGCGGGGTAAGCCAGACCCTCATCTCCGAGTCCAAGTTAACGGGCACTTAACACACTTAATTTCTCATGTCACGGGATAGTCATCTGGACGGGACCGCCCTCAGCGCTCTGACGTCACGGCTGACGTCACAGGCTCATCAGATGTGTCGATAAACGATCCGAGGCTGGGTCGGGAGGAGCTCAAACGAAATGTTGGCTCGCTCGTATTGCTGGGCTTTTCGTCGCAACACGGGTAGTGAGAAAGCATGCAGTACCTAATGGCAATAATTGGAAAAAGCGCGTCAAGTCACTTAACTAAGGCATAATTGCTTGAGGATTAAGAAGTTCAGCAATAGCTGTGAATCTCAAAAGGTAGACGAAAAAAAGATACAAATGACGCCGAGTTCACTCACACCAAAAAATACACGACAAAAAAATGTGTTAAAGGACTGTCATTCGTAACAAATGTCAGCATCTTTAAAATATTGGAAACCGCTAGAATAACGAGCTAGAATGGAAACGAGGAACGATAACCACGTGACTGTGATAGAGCACACAAAAAAATACCATTAAAGGAGTCGTGTGACTGAACACCGGCCAGGCGCCGCCAATTATTATCATCGCAGATCTTTTCGAACATCCAACGATAAAAAACTTGTGGCATAAAAAGCAGCGTTGTTGACGAGTTCTAAAAGCTGCCTTATCCAAAACCTTGTAAGGCAGTAAATGCACGTCCGATGTCAAATGCAGCAATTTTACTTTTCGTTATAGCACTTTAAAATGGAACTTAAAAACAACAACCGCAACACTCCGTAAAAAAGTCCCACGTGACCGATGCATGGTGCGGCAGGATTTGCGGAAACAGCGCGACCCCAGTTCAGCACAACCCATATGCAACAACTGAAGTTGCGATAAAACACATTTTTGTGGAAAGCAATTATAAACAGTCGGTGATTCTACAAGGATTTTTTTCCCGAAGACGCCACTAGTCAACAGATCGCTCTGTTTATGACGGGACAGGGTCCCAGCGATGCCAAAACGCCTGTGTGAGTGGCGCCACCTTCCAGGTGGTCTCCGCGTGACGAGCGTCCGACGGTTGGTGGCGGCGGTAACCGAGAAGTTCTGAACAAAACCCACAGAGGTCGCCAGCGTTCACAGCGCCGAGAGGCGGCCCGGGAGCGGACAATGGCAGCTTTCTGCGCTTAGCTGAGATATTTGTCCCCAACTTTGAAGAGTGTTTGACCCGTTTATAGACTAGCGCCAGATGTCAGCTGTCGACAAGGTACCGATTTACCCTCGAAAACCAAGTAATCGGGTAAAATTGCCATAGCTAATCGAACAAAACAATCAAACCAGACTGCGCAGCGTATGCGCCGTTTTCTCGGCCCTTACCTGCAGAATAGAGATCATCCTCCTGATGTGCTCGGTGGTGAAGTGTTTCATCTGGTGGAACCCGAACCCGGTGAAGTCCTGGATGGCCACGACGCCGCACACCTGGAGCGAGAGCGAGACAAACCACCGTACTTCAAATCACCTGCACATCGGCGGATAAGTGGGGGATACACGTGACAGTGGACGGGTAACGGGCGAGACAAGTTACACACAGCGTGCTAAGTTATACCAAGCACTGCTGACAGTTGATACATCAGTCCGTCGAAATCTGACATAACAAACCGTTCGAAGTGTTTCAGCGTACGACATGAGAGGTTTGTGAGAAACCCGCCCGTACCGAATTAACTGCAGCTAACTTCGTCCCTGATAGCACGGCAAGGTGAGAATCGGGCGTTATCAGAAGGGCTACGCGCGTGTGGGAACTCATAGACAGATTCGTGCGCCTACAAAGCTCTTCTGATACACACAGTGACACCCTAGAGTGGGTGCCTATCCCACTTCAACACATCAGCTCAATCAGCCCTCCCCCATAACCCCGCTCTATCTGAAGTACGTGAGGTCTTCAGTTACATACCTAACTGCCGGGCATGACACGTCTGATTTAACCCGCGCCCTGGTGGGGTCTGTTTATAACGCGACCTGGTGGGGGGGGGGCTATTTTTTGCCCCCCCCCCCTCGTATCTCCGAAACTACTGGACGGATCCGAAAAATTCAAACAGCGTTCGAAAGGCCTGTCAAATTTGCCAAGGGAAACCAAATTTTATTGACCTCGGGGTCACCGATGACGTCACAGGTCAGGTCAAAGATGAAATGTTTCACCGTTCACGGGTCTTCTAGGGAATGCGCTATAACACCGAGGAAAACGCATTTTGTCGGGAATCAGCGATAGGGCGTCAGTTGCCTAGTAGATATGTTGCTGTTAGAGGTCACTGGTCATACCAGGTCAGGTCACAGGTCAGGTCACCAAAGGTCACCAAGGGTCACCACATGAACCCAACTTTACTAAGGTTATGCAATGCATGTTTTATGGCCAGTTTTTCATTTCCAACTCAATGGTGTTGGTTATAAGACCATCAGGTACGGTTTAGGTCACTTTCTGGTGGAGGTCAGGTCAAGGTCAGGTCAAAAAAGGTCAAATTTCAAAGTTGATATTTTTGCATAAAATGGGTATTGATTCGATGCAGCTCGTCACGGGGAGTCTAATGGTGGTCTTTGTTTTGCGCTACGAGGTCTAGAATTGCTGAAAATTGAGTTTGAAAATTTGACGTCATCAATTTTGAACAGTTTTTTCGCTATAACTTGGCCAAAAAAAAGAGGTATCGATCTCAAATTTGGTATGTAGATAGAAGGCGGTAAGGAATATCACATATATTCCGGTTTTTTCGAAATTCAAAAAACTTTTTGGATTTTTTGGCTATTATATTCAAAAAATCTATTTTTTGAATTTTCGGGGTCAAAATCCAAAAATTTCAAAAAACCGAGATAGCAGTTTTGTAGCCCTGTCCATTCTACAGCTTTTATGTCTGTATCATTTTTCTGTATTTGCAAAGCTATAGGCCTGACAGCTCTTCCCGCGAAACCCTTTTTTGGGTCGAAAACGGCAGAACATGACGTCACTCTGACGTCATTTCCGGCCAACCTATCATAGCCTTTGGAAAAATTTTAGGTCACAATGTGTAAAATTGATGTCCGGGAGGGTACTGAAAGTTTGGTGACGATCGGCGCAGTGGTTCTGGAGATATATCGAAAAGTCTGGAGGGGGGGCAAAAAATAGCCCCCCCCCCACCAGGTCGCGGGTTAAGTCTCCAGTTTCCCCAAATGTCATTTTCTGGTTCATATCCCAATGTAGGAAGGAAATGGCATGACCCCTATCCATCACAATGTCAAAGCCAGTTCAACAAACCAAGCTCAGATTCGCAGCCGTAAGTCTAAAAATGCGGCTAGTGACGCCCGCATTTTGCCGTTACCGAGGTAGCCAGCGACGCCAATCGTTTTTTTTTTCGGCCGCCGTGGATATACGGCGAGCGCCGATTGCTATCAAACATTCGGGAGCGGTTAGGTCCAAGGGTCGGCCGGCGCGGCACACGCGCAGTTCGTGATTTATAACACTCTCGAGTCGGACCGGCCGCCGGCGAACAGCCAACGAGACGCACACAGGAGACGGGACGGTCCCAGCGTTCTCTGGGGAAGACGGGACGGTTCCAGCGTTCTCTGGGGGAGACGGTTCAGTCCCAATACTCTCCGTGGGGAGCGGAGACGGACTAGCACTCTCGGGGAGGAGGCAGCGGCCGTCCATCCATCTGGAGATCCTATTCCGTCAAACACGTTTCCTCTGCGCACTCTGCGCTCCTCAAGCACAGGTTCAGCGCTCTTAGTTTATAGTTATCAGAAGAGCAAATTGCAAAAAAAGAACTCGATGTAGAATCGCCGAGCTGGCCTTGCTGCTGGTGTGTCAAACGAATAGAACCACACCTACTTTCACATCAGACGACTGACCTGAGTGGCCTGCTCCCGCGCCATGTGCTCCAGAAGCAGTACGTTCGAGATAAAGATGTCGTCCATCGTCACCGCGCTCGGATCCCAGGCGCCTGGTGGGAAGGGAGGGGGAGAGAGGGGGGTCAGAAGAGAGGGAGAGAGGTAGAGGGAGAGGGAGAACCATGCTGTGTGCATGCATTTCATAGGCCAGCAGGCACCAACAGGCTACGTAATGACACGCTAACAGTTGAATTGACGGAGTTATGCAAGGGATTTATCTTGGAAAGCTGTATCACAGATCTGTCAGCCAAGGAACGAGTGCGATAGTAAACCATCGTGAATTCGTGACCCCACAGAGACGGCTGGTCTTTGGTGAGAGCGATATAAACCCGATGAAAAATGACGTCTCGACACATAAGAAGCAAACATGGACATCCAACAATGAAAGGTCACCAATAAATAATTAAGCCTTTGGTTCGAGCAGCATTTCAACCTAGAATAGCATAGCAACATTTCTAATAAGAATGGAAGCAAATATAAATGCAACCGTCTCAGTCCTCGCACAATGGCACACCAAGACTCCCTCCCCCCGTCTTCCCGAACCGGCCACCCTCGCCCGGCGGCGGCCGCTCACCGGGGCGGAAGACGAACACGCGGCAGCCGTTGGGGTCGCGCTGCGGCAGCACCATCTGCAGGCCGTGGCGCAGCACGCGCTCCTGGGTGGACGGCAGCAGCCGGTCGAACAGGTGCTGGTGGCGGGCGCGCGTCCAGTAGTACTGCTGCAGCTGCACCGTCCGACCACAGACAGCACCGACCGTCAGAGGACACTCGGTCGGACATAATCAGAGCTCTGACTGAGGTCGAGACGGTAGCCGGAGACGGAGGTCGGAGGAGGTGGTGAGCTGAGAGGGATGTGCTGTCTGGAGTGGCCACAGGACGAGCAGGGTCGAGGACAGAGGCAGAGCTGCTGGAATGGAGCAGATGGATACAAGGAGATCAGTTATCCCATTAGTGGGTCTCATACACTTTACAGTAGGTATAGGTACTTTGTGTAAATACTTTCACCTCAGAGCAATTTGTGACTGTACGTACACCAAAATAATATGGAAGGTGCTCTCAATAACTGCTCAATTAGCAGTATAATCGAAACACAAAAGCATATTACTAAAATACCTAACGAAATTCCCATGCACAAAAAAGTGCATTTGGCGAGCAATAACTTACCATCTGAAAGCTGCTATCATAGTCAAACTTCCTAGCACGAAGAAATCTGAGCAGAAATTCATCATCCATTCTTGAGTTCAAGTCAGCATCATCTGCAAACAGCATAGAAGGGTGGCACCAAGTGCATTTGAGATAATTCAATGAACCATGGTTGGAGAGTTGACAAACAGGGCACTAAAAATGGAAGTCTCAGGTACTCTCCATCAATGTGTATGCAAGTTTAGGTCATCCATGTGACAGCAACTTTGCTGCACTGGGGTAAAGACTGAAGATATGGAAGCTGAATTTAAAAGCTAGGTACAAGATGAACAACAGCAAACAATGAATAAGGGGAACATCCAAACATAGGTAGTCTAGGACTCTAGGCAAGTCCAAGATGTGGACTGACAGAGAATATGGGAGATTATCTTACAGCCATACACAGCAAGACCAACAAACATACCAGCAACAAGGTCTCTCAGTGCTGCAATGTCTCGTTCCCGCCACTCTTCTTTCTCTTGAAGCTCTTCTTCTGCCTTTTTTCTTAATTCTGGAGTAAGCTGAAAGTCACTACTGCCAAAGACACTTTGAAATTCATCAGTTTCCTCCCCAGAGCATCCAGCCATTTCTCTTTCAATGAAAATTCCAATAAAATTTCAATATTGGGATCCTGAAAAAGGACAGAAGTTGAAGCTGCATCAAAACATCACCTTTCACCAGCCCTTTGAACAATGTTATACTACAGATCCTTCCAGTTCCCAGAGAGCATATGGATCATGGAGCATGGCATTTACACAACTATAGCACAGTACACATTGTCCAGGTGAATCTGATATAACAAACGTTGGAGTTGTGTAATCGTCGGTAGTTGTGCCAATTTTCAAAAAAGGCTCAAGGTACCAAGCCCTTAATTATCGCCCTATTAGCCTGACCTCAGTAACATGCAAGTGTCTAGAGCGAATAATCGCCCGCCACCTGACAGACTACCTCGAGAGCAACAATATCTTGTCTGACCACCAATTCGGGTTTCGTGCAGGTCGCTCAACCATGGACCAACTACTGCTGGTTTACGATGACGTTTCCAGACACCTTGACAGGGGCGACACCGTTGACGTCATCATGTTTGACTTCTCCAAGGCCTTCGACGTAGTATCTCACCCTATTCTGCTCACCAAGTTACATTTGCTAGGGATCAATACCCCCCTCATCCGCTGGATCGAGGACTTTCTTGTTGGTCGCCGCATGTCAGTCCAGGTAAAGGGAAAGACAAGCAGCCAGCGCAACGTCTCGAGTGGCGTACCCCAGGGTTCTGTCCTCGGACCAATTCTTTTTCTTATTTTCGTCAACCATGTCGCAAGTAACCTCCTCTGTCAGTATAAAATATTTGCAGATGACCTGAAGATCTACATGACAATACGCCACGACAGTCCAGCTAACTACTGTCGTGATTCACAGGCTTGTCAGAAGGACATAACGATGCTACAACGCACGGCAGAGTCCTGGTGTCTCTACTTAAATCTGAAAAAATGTGTGGTCATCCGCTTTCAAAGAAGGTCCCATGTCCTACCTCCCCCGTCCTATCACTTAGACCAAACATCGATTCAGGTCGTGAAATCCCACACTGATCTCGGGGTTCTTATTGATTCTGACCTAAAGTTTCACCAGCATGTGGCTTTGACAGTGCAAAAGGCTGCTGGCCTTACCCAAAACTTGTTAAGGTCAACTGTCTGCAGATCCCCTGATTTCATGCTCACTTTATTCAACACTCATGTAAGACCCATCATGGAATACTGCTCATGTGTATGGCACACTGCGTATATAGGGGACGTGCGCCTCCTCGAATCTGTTCAACGCCGTTGGACTAAAAAGATCTTAGGCATGGGAGAGCTTGATTATAAATCCCGGCTTAGGGCTCTGAACCAGTACTCGGTCCAGGGCAGACTTCTACGTGCCGATCTGATTCAATATTGGAAGATTTTCCACGCAAAGTGTTGTATAGATGCCACTACCATGTTCGAACTTGATCCCTCGTCTAGTACCAGAGGCCACATGTTCAAAATCCGCCACACTCGAGCACAAACTGATGTCAGGACCAGGTCCTTCAGCAAGCGTTGTATCACCGCTTGGAACGCACTCCCTGACCAGGTCGTAGGTGAATCCGACCTGAGCAGGTTCAAGGCCATGTTGGCTGACTCGATGGGTGATGCCTTGTTCTCTTATCATATGTGATGGCTATTGCGTTGACCTGTTTCCCCTAATTTGTGTTTGCATTATTGTATACGATCTTTTATTGTATGTATCATGAAACTATAGCAAAATTCGTGTTTGTCACTATGCAGGCTCTTGTTCCCGGCTTGGCAGCACCCCCTTGTGGTGTCTCCGCCGGGCGAGCCCTACGTTCGCGGGTTCCTTCCTCACGTATCCTATGCACATCCTCTATGCTGTACTCTGGAAGGCAGGGAACCCCCAACAGGTGAGTTGAACAGGTGAGTGGAGGAGTTTAACCACAGTGTATATCAATAAGTTTAATCACATCAAGTTTGGCAGCACTTCTAAGTCGATTGCAAGATCCACTGAGATTGCAGATACCTAGTGATCTAGCATAGTATATTAGGGCCTTGTCTAGCATCCAATCCTCAGACCTATGCACAATGCCCATGCAATGTATTATCATAATCCCACCCTACCATTCTTACGTACAGACTGGTTGCAGGCTGGCTTTCCCTAGAAAGAAGTGGACAACACCGCTGACTGCTGAGCTAGAGTTGTGATGCCTCACAATTGGCCACCGAGCAGTGACCGTTTACATATACCCTGGTTTACATAGCCTTGAATCAGAGCCAATCAATGGAGACATCTTATGACGTACCATATATACAAAAATAGTCGTCTGAACTCTGAACGTCCCACAAAATAATGGACGAAATGCTTTTATCTTTTTTATAAAGTAGTTTCTACAAAAGTAGAAACACATAACACCTGATCAATCTCGTTTACAAAATCATTCTTTTACTGCCTGGTGACGTCATATAACAAGGCGACACCTCATCAAACAGGTTGCCATGGAAATTAGCTGATCGTGCAAAAGGATGGTCGGAGACGATGCTAATCAATGAATTCGTGTGAAAAAAAAAATGGAATAAATACGCTCTCTCCGTCCTATCACTTGGTTTACAATTTTACTTGCACTAACCTGCCTGGCCTCGCAGCGGTATTTCCATCAATGGACACGAACGTCTGGCATTACACGCTCCGTTGCCTACAGCCAGCCCTAAAATAAAACTACTCTAAGCTTTCTTTTTAATGCTAGCTCGTCCCTTGAACATGCGAGCTTCCTCCTAATCATCGCTCATCATAAAATCGCTGCAAGACATCCAGGGCTCGAGTTAATCACGGATAATTCATGAGTTAATGTAATCATTTGCGCTCAACTACGTCCCCGAGCGTCAATTTCATTGCAAACCTCATCATGATCATCAAAAACCTGGGCAAAATCAAATTTATCGCACTTCTATCCATTGACGACTCAATTGACCCTGCAGCTTGTGCACGGTCAATGTCTACCTTTCCCCCCGCTCAGCCAGCATACCACAGTACTGACAAGTCAGCACATATATTATAAACCTCACAGCCCAGCCGGAGAAATCGATATACACAGGATCACGGTCGGATACTTTATTTCCGCGCAGAGCGAAAAAGCCATCACGACATGTCGACGTCTTCTCCGGCCTCCAGCTGCTTGAGGAACTCCTCCTTGACCTTCTTGACCTTGGCCTTGCGCTGCTCGTAGGTGAGCTTCTTCTCGCCGAAGCGCTTCTTCTCCACCTTCTTCTTGGGCGCCGGCTTGTACTCGGGGTTGGCACGGATGGCGTCGTGCGCCTTCTTGTACATACCCTCGATCTGCAAAATCAGAAACGGAAGCGTTAAAAACTGCATTAAAATAGGAAATGCAATGACCTAAGCCTAAAACAAAACATATCGAGCATGAAGCAATCAGCGTTCGTTAAGCCATACAAGTTTGTTTTCTAGCCCAAAAATTACAACTTGTTGACCGACGTTAGAAAACGCGAACAAGTCGGACAAGCAATTGACCTTGTGAGCAAGTGATCATATTTGACCAGAAACAATACGCTCCGATGATAGATGGACGCAAGATACAACGCTCTCCGTAATTATAGCTGCACGCATACCACACAATACGACTCATTCTCGTACTACCACAAATGTAACAATTCACGAAACAGTGAAACAGTATCTTAAACTACCAGAGTGAAAAGTATTTAAGAAATTATCAAAGCAGCTCTACAGCAATGATAAAAAGTATCTTACTTTACTGCCCTTTAAAAATGTTCAGTCCCTTTTATATGCATTCCATAGGTACGAGTCCAAAAACCGTGCATTCACCGGGGTTACGATCAGACATGTGCATGAATCCGAGCGATGGATCATGATCTCAGTGTATCTCCAAGCAAACTGCACGTTAGGATCTATGATCCCATATTCGGATCCTGCGTGAATAATTTATATTGGATCTACGACCTTATACGATCTCACGATAAACAAAGAACATGGATCTATGAATTATGAGTGCATCCCACCATGCACAACATTTGGAACGATGTTTTATAGAGTTCCTATGTCAATACGTGCCACAAAATTATGGATGACGTGCAATCACATAAAATCACTAAAACAGAACGTTTGTGAGTTGCAACAAGTGTTTATTTCTGTGTTGACAAAAAAGTGAGGATCTATGATCTCGCTGGATATCAAGCAAAAAATTGCACTGGGATTCATGATCCTGTCGGTTCCGAGATCAGGATCCGTGGTAATCAGATCCCAGATCCATTTTCTCGGATCCATGCACAATGTCTCGTTACGACAGATAACATGCATTTTGATACGGTGATTCATTGCCCCACCATTGTCGTCATCGGCAGCCTTGAGCATACGAGCTGCAATTTATAAAATGACGACCCTCACGGGACCAATTTTCGTTTTATTTCAAATCGGACCAGATAAGAGGAAATTCTTTGACTGTTCCGGGACAGAAACGGGCTGCCAGAAAAAAATCCACTATTGTTATCAGACTAGACAAACATCCAGACACATTTTACCATGACGGTTACGACTTTATGGCCTGTTGCCTACTAGGTCTTTGCCCACTGATGACCGATTGACTACAACTCTCGTATTACTTAACACAACCAAAATTACTGTAAGCCCGCAAAGCACAACACCGGTGGCGAGGTCTGAGCCCCATTTCCCGACCCCCGGTCTACTTACGCCGTCAGCAGTGATGCCGAGCTTGATGAAGCGCGCGAACTGGCGCTTGTACGCTTCGTCGTCGTCCTCCTGCAGGTGCCTCATGTAGTTGGCCACGTGCTGGCCGAAGATGTAGTCGCGGTGCACCTTGGCGTCGAAGCTCTTGCCCTCGGCGTCGTAGCCGGGGAAGCGTTTGTTGCTGTGCGGGATGTCCAGTCCGCCGTCGACGGCGCCCTTCATGGCACCGAACACCTTGGCGCCGGTGGTGGTGCGTGCCAGACCCACGTCCAGGTAGCAGCGGAACGCGCCCGGACCGTCGTCCACCGGCTCCACCAGGTAGTCGTCGCCGTCCACGTTCTGGTTGCCCTCATAGACGGTGTCGAGGGCGATCTTCTTGAGCAGCCGGCGCGCGATCAGCAGGCCGGTGCAGTAAGCAGCCGCGTAGTTGGTGAGCCCGACCTTGACGCCGTACCGGGGCAGCTCGTGGGCGTATGCGGCACACACGATCACGTCTCCCTCCAGACGGGCGTACGCTACCTGCCGAACAGAAAACACAGACACCGTCATCAGAGGAAGCATCAATGCACCCTGTTGCTGACAGTTGGACAAGTCAACTGGGAATGGCCGCTCGTCACACGTGAAGTTCCGTGTCACGGGAGCCACCTGCCTTCCAACGGCGACAGCTAGCGCCACCAAGCGGCCCACGTCGAGGCTGCATATAACGCATCTCCGGAGTCTCGATGTGAGACATTGCAGGACAGGACTAGAGGTGGCAAAATGTGGACCCGAGGACCCGGTCCAAAGAACCAGTCTGGGCCCATATGGGTCCAGACCGGTTCCTGGAAATTTTCTGACGGGTCCAACCGGGTCCTACCATAAACTATACATCTTGCACACTACACATTATTGCAAAATATGAAGTGAATTAAGTGAATGTTTCTTTGCACACAGTAGCTCATGAGTATTCCCAATTGGAAATAGGCTATTTTACATGATGCAACTAATGATACCTACAAATAGTTTGTATTAATTGACTTTTGGGGAACGGGTCCAACTGGTTCCGATTCCAACTAAGATCGGGTCCGACTGGTTCCAGAAATGTCCAGCCGGGTCTGGTTCGAGTCTGGTTCCCAAAATTTTCATCTTTTGCCACCTCTAGACAGGACCAAAGCCATCTCCTCCACGCCTCCCCGATCCTGGCCGGGCGGTCTCATTTGTCGTGAGTAGTTCCGATGCGACACACTCTCGCGTGATGGAGTGACCGACAGACTCAGCACCAGCGGCGTACCGGCATAGCCGCCCAGACCAATGTCGCCCCGGTCCCCATCATTCTTATTAGGTACTCTTCCGGCTCTGCAGGGTCTCATTAGACAGGAAAGGTCAAGCCCTACAATAAAGCAGCGAACACACGTCCCCGCTATCTGTCGGGCTTATTTACGAGCTCGCTCAAACCACAACAAATGGCGTATTTTGTGACATTCACAACACTTTGATCCGGAGCAATCGACAATACGACAGTTCCAATCATATTGCTAATTGCGTAGCTCAAAACCAACTGCATGCTGATTGGTTGACGCAGGCCTCTGCTACAGCATTCTTGGCATTCTTTCGTAAGGCACTAAATTCCTGCACAAGGCAAGGATTTCGAAACGAGAAAGACCAAATCTCCTAGGGTGATTGTTGGGCCGGAAAAGCTCCTGATTTGTGCTGGTCTCGGCTCAAGCTACAAAACTGCTAGTTCAGTTTAAAACCCCACGTTAACAATCGCACGGATAGCGGGGTGGGGGGGGGGGGGGTCGAACGATCCCACTGTGTTTTTTTCTCGCGAATAACTCGCGTAAGAAACGGTCGATCGCGACGACACTTTCAGTACCCTCGGGTTAATCAATTTTACACGTACCCTGAAAATTATATGACCCTAACCCAAATGACCTTGGACCGGTGACCTATTTCTCGAGACCATGTTTGGCCTAAATCGCGATTCGGCGTATGTCGGCTCACATTATCCGCGTGTTTGCTGTGTTTTTGTAGTTTGAAGCGTTCAAACATGTAAAATGGTGCTGGTCCCATGCATGCATGCTGGTGGGTGTCAAGGTCACGTGATGGTTAGGTCAGGTCACTGACCTCTGATGATCTTAGTTCACTTTTTCGAGTTAAACATGTTGCTAGGCTAGTTTTGGAACTGATTTCGAAGTTAGAAACAATTTGAACATTTAAGAACTAGTTTTGGTGCCTTCGTAACATGTTACTAAGCCGTCAGTGATGGTGGACACCTACTACGAGTACCCGGCATGACGCCTGCTGGTTCAACTGACCAGACCTGGCCTAAATGCACAAATACATCAGCTGCGCTTATAACTTAAATGAAATTCGTGATCAGCACCCCGAAAAAAAAAAACTAACAATACGAAAATGTAACATCCCGATTTTCCAGACTTTTTGGTCATTGACCTGAACTGGAAGGTCAAAAATGACCTAGGATGACCTAGGACCTTGAAATTGGGTATCATCGGCTTCCTCTGGTCATGGGTAACACGCTCGTTTTTTTCGCAAAGCTCTAGCTCGATCAGGGGCTGAACGGCAAGGGGGGTCCAACAGACCCCCTCCCCCCTATACGTTCGCGGCTGGCAAACCCAAATACAGGGCGAAGGTCAAAAGTGGCAATTTCCTTTCAACTTCAACAGAAGCGAAGATATTAGGATGTCTCCATTATTTTTCACAATATCAATGATCAACTTTTTCACGTGACTCATCGTGAACTCATCGCCTTCGGCGACTTTGCGCTAAAATAACCAAGAATGGCGATTGGCGATTTTCGTGTAAGCAGAACTTGCCTCAGATGTTCAATTTTGCAAAAAAAAAAAATGCAGAAATGACTTGAAGATCCATATGTTCCTGGTTTTTATTGCTTATGTTCTTCTAAAAAAGTGACTCTCTTAGTTCACATTTTTAGCTGAATAGGGCCCTTGCATGTTAGGACAACCCAACATTCATTGATCTGTGATAAACTAGCCAGACCTAAAATCAGATAGGTTAGTTAGTTTCAACAAAATGCTGCATGTAAGAAAGGCAGTATTGAAAGATTTACTTTAAATTTTGGTCCCAGAAAAGAATTTAAATTTCATTATTCATTCACACAGTCAAGTCAATCACACAGTCCAGTTCCTGTGTTTTCACAGTCAAACACAGGAACTGGACACATGCAAAGGTGTATAGCCCACAATCATATTTTGAGGTAAATATCAGTCACACGTTTTAATACCATGGCAGGAAACTTGGCAAAATCCATGAGCTTGAATTTACATAACCTGAACACTGAACATTTTTGACTAGCCTGGGGCCATAAAATCATCTGCCTTCCAAAGCAGCCCCAGGACCATCCACACAAGACACAACTGTTAGTTGTAGGACCAACACCTGCCACAGGTGTGACAATTAAGCCATTGCCATGGCAGATCGCATAATCCATGGTTCCTACTTCCTACAATGTTATTTGTCATGCATATAATTGTAGACCATTAACCTTAGACACACATCAAAAAGTACCCACAAGTTCAGGTATTTGTTCAGAAAAGGTCTAATCTACAATTATGGTGCTCTGATACAAAAATGCAACAGCAGAAATGAAATTATAGGTTGTAGGTTCCTAGGTATTCCCATTCTACCGTTCTTCTGCTTTACTGAAAAATGTATTACATTAAACTACAAAATACCTACTGCACCTTATAGGACTGTTGGTAAATTCAAATACCTTTACAATCAGTCATCTTTTATAAAGCATTCACCAATTGGCACATAAATTCTTAAAAAGGACTGACCTGACAAATGATGTCCTTGTTGGTAAAGCGGACGATCAGGCGATACTTGGGAGTGTTGTACTTGTTCTTGTCCTGAACAACCAACCTCTTACGGGCATAGTAGTCAGTCTTTCCCTCCCTGCGCCTCTTGAACTTGACCTGGTACCTCTTGAAGTAGGCCTTGTTCTTGACAAGCTTGATGAAAGCCTGGAAAAACAGCAATTAAAGAATTACTACAAATTATCAAAATCTACTGCGTAATTTAAATACAATATGTACAACATATTGTATTGTACATATGTATATGTACGATATATATACGATATATATATATGTATACAATACAATAAAATACTAGTCACCAACAAATTAAATAGGAATATTCCTTTACCACAAGATCTATATTTTCGGAACTATATGCTTTTGACATTTTAATATCTTAAATCCTAAACAGCAATGCTAACGGTGCTTCATTCTTTCTATGCAGCATGGCGTTTCAAAAGCGGCGCACACATCGAACTAAAAATACAACGGTAAAGCTTAACGTTAAATAAAACAAAGTACACGATCGAAGAGCAGCTTCATCCAACTATGTTTATTCACAATACCGGACGCGTTATGCACATACCATGGCGAATTTCACAGAATCGCCGGACAGTAGCCTCGGCTGAGGGCTCACCACCGGAAAAGGGCATTATAGAGGTGTCTTCAGTAGATTTATCTTGTTTTTTTTTCTTTTTGTTTTAAATACCTATTTTCCCACGAAATTTCATTTCGTAATATTTAAAAATTCGAAAAAGCTTTTGTCACATGACAAAAATAACTTGCAAATAAAAATAAAAAGAAACTTCTCTTTCTAAGTGATTCGTAAATAGCGCGTTTGTTACAAAAATATAGTGTTCAGCTATCCTCGCTTATGGACCTCGGTCTGACTTGTCCAATCAAAAGGCATATGTTTTGCATGTCTGGTTTATTTTCTATGAACGTTTTCAAAAATATTTTAGCGCTGTATACTTATTGTCGATATTTTCCATCATTTGAAACGGATCATTTTAAAAAGACAATAATTTTCATCAAATTTAGTAAGGCCGTTTATACAAAATATGTAATTTCAAAAGGAACGAGTTGTTCTCATGTGCTGAGAGAGCATATAGAGAGAATTGGTGAACATGAAATTCTTTGAAAGTCCTCCCGGGGGATTTCAAGATACCTCAAGTTCTCAACCTGGGGATTTGTTGTGAGCTAGGGACTTCAGGATAGTGTCTTTATGTCGTGATGTGATGTAGGTAATTTGGTAACTTAAACTTAAACCCTGGTAACTTAAACCCTTTAATGGAAAAGGCTCTGTGTAATGTGGGTGGCGGTACAAAAAAGTATTTTCGTAGACAGGGTACCATAGTTTGATGTTGAGATATAGGTATGGTTATTTGATTTGGCCGGCTTGAGCCATTTCAATTTAAGGTGGAATCTGAAAACGGGACGCCGGACGGCATATTTAGTCACAGGATTATTGGGATATTCTCCTCCTCTTTGTGCCCTGAACAGGCTAATTGTCACATGATTAGGCCAAGCGAGTTTCAAGGTCCTTGATCAAATCACCTCAGGCGGCAGGCGACCTGTTTTTCAGATTCTACGCAATTTAAGATGAAGACGCAAGCAGGTTATTATTTCTGTAAACACAGTAAAATTGGCTTAATAGGCTGTCCATTTTTGGAAGCATTTTTCTGGATGTTGCGTTGGTATTTACTCAGAAAGCAGGCATTGCACTTTTTGTGTAGGGCTGAAGGTAGATACTAGAATCCTATCTACTTTTAATTTATGTACCTTTTTGTGCATTTTTACAGATATCCAATTATGTCAGAAGGAATAAGAAGAATCAACACATTTGTGTCCACCAAGATCAGTTGTGTGAGATGGCGTCCTACACCACAAGACACTCTGACACCGTCCAGCCAGTTTGTCTCTGGAAGCTGGGATGATGAGGTACAGTATATCCACTATCATAACATACAATGTTAGGTGTAAATGTATCATGCAATTAACTTGTATATGGTTCAAAGTGCCACTTTCAATTATTAATAGTTTAAATTAAATTATGACATTTAACTTGTTAATAATTTAAATCATATTATTCAAAGATAAAAGTCCACATATTCCCCTAATATGTCATTAAAGTAATCATGGTTATTATCAATTTTTGAAATCATGCATTGTGGCCTAACCATTGTAGGTAGGTACTAATTTATTGTCAAACAAGATACCCTAGGTACTGCTTCCATCAATGTTAATGTGACATAAGGCCATTACCAAATAAGTACCAAATAAGTGTAATAAGTGAGTACCAAATAAGTATGAACGTTCCCAAAGATGAATAATTACATAAGCAGAGAGCTGGGGTGGATCTGCATAGATCAATTTTCAGTAAATGTGGAGCCCCTCACAACATACTCCTAGAAAGGTAACTCTTGTTAACAGTGCAAAATACCACCCAAAAGTGGAATATTTTAAGAATAAATACATGAATGCAGACAAATGCATGTCTGTAAGGGTAGGGGAGTCAGCCTCTGCAATGCCAGGATCTATTCAAAATTTCTGCTTGAGGGGTGTTATGAGCATTCCTGCACTCTCATGCGACTCTGTTTATGTGTGTTCCCCTCCCCCAGGAGAACTGTCTGCAGCTGTGGCAGTGGTCTGACTCTGGGGACGATCCGCGCTGCCTGCACCGGCTCCCCTGCCGACCAGACGTCAACTGTCTGTCTGTGAGTACAGACACTTCAGCAGGGACCAGCCACACTACCTCCGTGGCTCGACGTATGCTCATTGCTGTATCATTATCATAAAATTGCCAACTGCCTTGATACTTGTGGGAATTATCGGTTTTCAACCTACTCCTCTGCGATGTTTTATTTATATATTCAATTTTATTAAATGGGGATGGAGTGCAAACCACTCGCTGTTTCACCCCCAATTAAGCTAGAGGAAGCACTGAATAAAACGAGTATGTTAGCCATTACGAGGCGCAGTGATTAGTGCTCAGTTTTTATTTATCAGATCAGCCAGTAGCCTCTAAGGGTAGGTGAATGAGCTAAAGGTCGGGCTCGGATTTCGGTAAATGTTTTTGGCGAAAATGATCGTTTGGAAACGTTGTTGGTACCATCGCTTATGGCATGATAATGCACGTAAAGGGCATGACGTATTGCCTTTTGTTTGAGAAAGGGTACCCATCTTGTGAAGATTTCAGCTGTTATGTCTCCGTTTCAGTATGTCTCGCTGGACGTGTTTGCGGCGGCCACCTCGGACGGTGACGTCACGCTTTACCGTCACGTGTCCGAGCGACTGGAGCCGGGCCGGCGCTGGGACCGGCTTCACCACACCAAGTCAGTCCAATTCACACCTCACGGGGTATCGCTGGGACCGACTTCACCGCACAAAGTCAGTCCAATACTCACCTCACGGGGTATCGCTGGGACCGCCTTCAGGCCCCACCACACCAAGTCAGTTCGGTGCACGGGGTATCACGGGTACGGCCTCCACCACACTGAGTAAGTTCGGGTCACGAGCGGTGGTTATGCAAGCCTCCACAAATCAGAGTCAGTTCGGTTCACATGGGTTGAAGTTGAAGTTAAAGTGCTTCCGGCCCTTGGCTGGAAGCCATACGGGGGGACGCCTCACAGGCGGCCCAGCCGCCTCAGGAGCTCCACCAGCTTCGTTGCGTCTCCCAGTGCTTCCCTCGTCTCCGGCTCGTCTTCTCCGAATATCCTTCGTCTCACCTCTGCCCGGGCGGGGCAGTCGGTCAGGAGGAAAGATAGTGTCTCATCCTCCAGCCCGCACTCAGGACAGGTGGGATCGTCTTCCAGGCCGATTCTGTGCCGGTACTCCCGCACCATCATTGATTGGCCGGTACGAAGTCTCGCGGCTTCCACGCATTCCCGGCGGGAGAGTCCCAGGCGCTCAGCCGGGGGGGGGGGGGGGGGGGGCGCACTCCGTTCCGCAGGGCGTAGCGGGTAGGTTGTAGGCTGTAGCCGTTCTTCCCACTCCCGGTGGGCGTGCCTCCTCAGCCTGGCTTTTGCTGACGGGAGGTCTACCGGCACGTCGCGCTGCTCCAGGTTGGCGGCTTCTCGTGCGATTTCGTCGGCCAGCTCGTTACCGGGGAGCCCGGCGTGGCCGGGAACCCACTGCAGGGACGTGTGCGTCCCGCGGTCGGCTAGGTCCAGCAGCCTCTGCCAAACTCTGTCCGCCAGGACATCCGTCTGCGCCGCCGGGCCCTCCGCGAGGCGACGCAGGGCTGACGGGGAGTCGGTACATATTCGTACCTCCCGCGGAGCAGGGCCCTCAGCGCCCCCCCCCCCCCCGCTCAGGAGGGACGCGAGGGCAGAGTCGAGCGCCGTTAGCTCCGCGCGGTAGCTGGAGGTCCAGCGGCCTGCAGGCGTTGCCGCCGCAGGTCCGAAGCTTATCTCGGAAACGCGCTCGTTGCCCTTTTTGTTTATTAGAGGCAAACGAAACGTGGTTCACATGGGTCGCGGGGACAGCCACCGCCACAGTGGAAAAGGGGGGGAGGGGGTCACTGGGACGATTTTACACCCAGCTGTATCACTGACAGGGTGTCGTACGGACGTAATCGCTAACCTATTTAATTGCAATTTAGGCTGCAATGATATTTACATTCTCTACTGAGCACCTTTTAGTCGCTACGTCCTGTGTCAATCGCTCAGTACCTGTGTGTTAGTACCGTCGCCCGGTGTTTCCCGTTGTGACCGCCGTGTGCCCTTCTGTACACAGGTGCGGTGCGGCACCGTGCACCTGGCTCTCGGCGTTCGAACAGGAGCTCGTCTCCGTGGGCGATGACGGCAGGATGGTGGTACTGAACGTGCACTCACAGAAACCCGGACGAGTCATCGGTGAGACGCCGCCGGCTGACAACAGGGGAATCTCTATTTTATCTTTCTTCTGACTTTCATGACTTCCTTGACTATGACCTCCCAAAATTACCTTCGTCATTTATCTCAGCATTAGACATAATTGCGTTTGAAATCCACACACCCTACGACATGAGTCAAATTGTCAATGTATGCCTGCTGGACCTTATCAAAGCGTTGCTAATCACGTGACCCCTCCCCCTCAGTGGCAGATATGTACCAGCTGCTGCGTGTACCGGGTGCTGATCACGTGACCTCCCACCCCCGCAGCGGCGGACACGTGCAGCGTGTACCGCGTGCAGCACGTGACCCACTCGCACGTGGTGACGGCCAACATGCGCGGCCAGCTGAAGTCGTGGGACCTGCGCGCCGACAGCGACGAGCCCACATCCTCAGTGATGGCCTCGCAGCAGCAGGTCGGTGACGTCAGGGGCCGCACGGTGGGGTCTTTCGGCCCTGCGGAGGCTCCTGGGCCTGGTGCGCCGAATTGGGAGCTGGGACGTGGGAACGGATTCGGGAGAGATGCTATATAGCTTGGTATATGTTATGCATTCTGTTATTATATGTTTGAGAAACTATTTTGGTGAAGCTTGTGCGGGGAAGGTGAGCGGGGTGTTAATGCGCATGCGCATGTTGTTTTTTTCGGTGATTCCTGATTTCATTGGCCGGCGCAATGATGGTCGATCTTAGTTTGGCTAATTTGTTTCAGATGTGTTCCATGATCAATTGTTTCAGTGTTCAGTAATGGCTGTATCATTAGTCATGAGTGTTCGATGATGGCGCTGGGCCGTTTGTTCGGTTGTGCCGCAATTTTTTTTTTTTGTGTGCCATAATTGACCCTTGTTTGCAGTGTGCGGTGACGGCGCTAGGCGGTCGTGCCGTCATTGGTGTTACCCTTGTTTTCAGTGTGCTGTGACGGCGCTGGCGCGCCACCCCACCCAGTACCACGTGCTCGCCTCCGGTGACGGAGACGGCGTCATCTGCATCTGGGACATGCGCCAGCCGCGCTTCCCCGTCACGGAGCTCAAGTCACACGCCGACGAGGGTAAGCGACTATTTGAACACTGTGACCCAGCGTTGTTTGATTATGCTGAGGCACATAGTGACAACGTAGACCTAACGGCACTGAACGGCACTGCAAGTATAACTTGTTTAAGATGTGTAGTATTTATTGTCAATTTTATTGAACAGGAGGGTGACTTTCGGTCTGGCATCTTACCGACCGTAGATAGAGATACCGAATATCGTATTAACGTATTGTCCGTGCCATTTCACGTCACCATCCGTGGATGTATTTATAACTAGCCTGACGGTCAGTGAGCGTGTCTGTCTGATGCCCGGTAGTCAATGTTTGTATCTCTTGTCCAGCTCTGTGTCTGTCCCGTCCTGCCCTTTGGTAAGCCTGTGTCTGTCCTCCCCGGCAGTCAGCGACTTGTTGTTCCACCGGCTCTGTCCGGACAGTTAGCATCTCATATCCTGTCCGTCAGTGAGTGTGTCTGTCTTATCAAACTGTGTCTGTCCTCCCCGACAGTGAGCGACCTGCTGTTCCACCGGCTCTGTCCGGACAGTCTGTTCTCGGCCGCCCACGACGGCTCCGTCTGCCAATGGAACATCGGCACAACGGCCAGCAGCGGGCTGAGCGCGCGCCTCCACACCTCCGGCAGGGGTGAGTGTTACTCCCAGCAGCGGGCTGAGCGCGCGCCCCTACACACCTCCGGCAGGGGTGAGTATTACTCCCAGCAGCGGGCTGAGCGCGCGTCTCCACACCTCCGGCAGGGGTGAGTGTTACTCCCAGCAGCGGGCTGAGCGCGCGCCTACACACCTCCGGCAGGGGTATTACTCCCAGCAGCGGGCTGAGCGCGCCCCCACACCTCCGGCAGGGGTGAGTGTTACTCCCAGCAGCGGGCTGAGCGCGCGCCTCCACACCTCCGGCAGGGGTGAGTGTTACTCCCAGCAGCGGGCTGAGCGCGCGTCTCCACACCTCCGGCAGGGGTGAGTATTACTCACAGCAGCGGGCTGAGCGCGCGCCTCCACACCTCCGGCAGGGGTGAGTATTACTCCCAGCAGCGGGCTGAGCGCGCGCCTCCACACCTCCGGCAGGGGTGAGTGTTACTCCCAGCAGCGGGCTGAGCGCGCGTCTCCACACCTCCGGCAGGGGTGAGTGTTACTCCCAGCAGCGGGCTGAGCGCGCGTCTCCACACCTCCGGCAGGGGTGAGTCACACAGGCGGACTGGGGAGCGGCAGCCGTGACCGACGCCGTGGAGTTACAGAGTCATGCAGGCGGTCACGGATCAACAGCAGCATTCGGCCCAGACAGCAGCTTGTCCCTCTAATGATGTGTCAGGTTAAATATAACAACGTGTTTGTTTCATTCGCAAAGTGATATGTGCTAAGCTTTTCTTATTTCTTCATGTCAGATCGATGGCTCAGCCTTTTCCATGCTGTACTTGTTGTCTCGCTTACTTGCTACTGTAGTCTGTAACGTGTCTCGCCGAGTACCTCGGCCATCCGTCCCAGTTGATCTGACCTCTCTCCCCTCCGGCAGAGCCGCCGGCGGACGCCGCGCAGACCTCGTGGCTGACGCTGGACGCCTCGAAGCGCTACCTGGACGTGCTATCGCTGCTGCCGGCCGGCCCGCTGCCCGTCAACAGCCTGGACGTCAGCGAGGACCGGCTGGTGTGTGGCGGCGACAACGAGGTGATCCACTGCGTCAGCCAGCTGACCGTGTGACGGCCGCCCCGCCGGGGCTCGCAGAGACAGCGGGGAGGGGCGTCAGTGACCCCTGGCCCTGACGGCGCTGCGCTGCGGCAACTCTCGGTGAGGCATGGCGCCAGATCTTGACGAGGGTCTTGTCGTGTCTCATTGGTCCATTTCATTGCCACGCTACATGGATCGACGCTCTGCCGCGATGCACTGAACCCGAATTGCGCAGATGCAGATATAATGCGGAAACGATTCGGCATTGCGTATAGTGTCAGGTCATTTACGGTGCCTGCTCAAGTGAAGAGCGGGTGGTCCCAGGCTGCGCTGAAGCGTAGGACGGGGAGGGGGGATGAAACATTGTCATTGATCAGCAAATGTTCATGATGCCAGTTTGGGACCATGCCAAACGGATTTCTAATGTCATTGGTGTCGTTTCAAAGACACCTCGAATGTGGTCCAGGCTGTTGTCGGCTGCCATGATAATAAATGCCATTCCTGTTTTATTACGTTGCCTTTTGATTCTACCGTGCGTCGGAGGCTCGGAGTGCGTATACGGATGTCTTTTGTTGTGTCCGTTTGCCCGGTGGATAAATAGTTACTCCATTAAAGGGACACTCCCACCTTAACATTAGTTTTGAGTTGAGATAGCCAAATTGGTGGTCATGGCCTGCAAATACCGGTTTGGGCACTCACAACATCGACAAATGCTTTAATTCGGAGATATGGAATTTCAAACTTGCAGTTTTCGGATTCTAAGGGGCTAGTGCATTGGTATGCCCCCTTAGAATTTGTGACGTCAGCGGAGATCTAACGATTTTTAAATCTTTTACTAAAACGTTTGGTAGCACGCGGTGGTATATGCTGCTTTGCGCGCAACAAATGCCGCACTTTCAAATAAAGTCGCTAGGAACAGCGGAGATCCCAAAAAGTAAACAAAAGTAAAAGTCTAATATCTTGAAAATCGGTGGATATTTTTCGATGAAATTTGGTAGATATTCGTTTTCGCTCTTTCTGAACCGAGCGACATCACTTTCGTGCCAATTCATTAACTTTTTTGAAGGTGGGAGGGTCCCTTTAATCTGGAAGCTGTCCCTTCCGCCTTCCCATTTGTCCTTCCCGCGATCCCATTTCCGATGTTGTTGTTTTTTTTTTTGACGAATCATTCTGCAATTAGTTATGTGCGGCATTACAATCTCAGCTGATGAGTGATTGTGCCAGCAAGTGAAAAGTAATATTGGCTCTCAAGCTGAGGAAAAGGACTTAGGCCGGGATTTACAAGACTCCTTTACTACTCGGATTTACGGGATTTCATGTTTTTTAGGTTTGGCAGCATTACTAGGGTGATATGGTAGCATAAGTTGTTTTCATTCTCAGCGCAACAAATACATCTTTTCCTACATATTGGTATTCGAAAACTTTAGTAAAGAATGCTCACGGACAACGACACCTGAAGAAAACAGTTTGTGCGCATGCAGGATTAGCGTATAGTACATCAGAGTGAACATCAATAAAGTAAAAAATATATTGTGGCCGTGTCCGTGCCGGCCGCGCCTTGCATTTATGCTTTTTAATTTTATTTGAGCCATAGATATACAGACATTTGAGCTATACCTACTGCCATTTTGAAACGGTTATATTGTGTATATCGGTTCATATTTAAGTCAAGAAATGGCCAGTAGATGAGAAACTGTAATACATTGGACTTACTATATCGCAATCATGGATGCCAGGGAAGCAAATTGTGAGTGCCGTAACCATTCTTCAATGTTCAACTTACATGTGTATTGTGTGCGTAATGCGTATGGTTTGATTGTTAACACTTTTGGGCTGCAGCCTGTATGTATCTATGCGTGTGCTCAACATTCGGATATTTGGATAGTTTTCCTTGATCACCGGGATCATTTGGTGCTTAAGGCTGACGGCTGACGCTTTGCACAATGGAAATGGCAATGAGTAAAAGAGGCATTTTTGAAACAAAAGCATTCTAGAAACGTGATTTATTGCATCGATGGTCCCTGCAATACCAAAGAACTACCGGTGATCCTGGATCCCTGAATATCCGGATGGCAAACGCAAGCTATATTTCTGTTTCATTGAATGACAGGTGATTTTTAAAACTTACTCAGAAGTATGTAATTGTGATAGGCTATTTAGCCTATTAGTCAGGGGAAGGAGGCCCAATTTTGGGCCGAATAACGCAAAATTGGGTAGAGCTTAGCAAAGGGTGGTTTCTGGGACAAAAATGACCGCTGAATCCGAGTCTGACCGGTGCGCACCTCTAACTAATGTTGCACCGCTTCCAGAGCACGTGCAACTGCGTGGTTCATCTTTTTTGGAGAATGGTACCTTTTTAATGAATTGCAGTGTAACGTCGTTGATATTTGAGATATTGTTTTGAGATTTTGTCCCTGTGCTACAAACACATGGTGTAATTGAAAGCTGAAGTTTTGCAATGTTCGGGCAGCCGATGACGTCACCGTGACGTCATTTACCTATAAATGAGTTGAAAAAGTCGTCTTGTCCTTAAAGCATTTAACTTTATTCCCGTCGTATGCAAATCAGAGAAGGGAAAATAATCAAACATGATCTATGAACATTTCTGAGTCGGATCATGCTAAAATCGTTTTTGCAGAGGTACATGAGAGTCACATTAAGAACGTGACAGTCCAAGTCACCACCTGACAAATTTGGTCAAACTGGATGAAGTAGTACAGCAGATTGATGAATCACGTGAAATAGTATATTTTTATGATTTTTATATCATTTTTACCGTGTTCTGGCGCTGCGACGGCATTTAAATCCAAATACTGTTGGCGTTGAATTGGCTAAATATCGTTCCTTTGGTCTTATTTATAGTTCAAATTGTATAATTTTTTTATTTATTTCAAGTAAATATCCATTCCTATGAATAACGGAAAGTCAGCGTGGGTTCAGCTTAGTCGTTACGTGCGTTTGGCTAGCGATATAAAATGATCCAGAATTGTGCTTGTCATGAACACTGGGAAAGGAAATAAACAGCTGTGGTTTATCAAAAAGGGCAAAAATCACCTTTGTAAGAAAGTGAAATATCTTAGATATTTGTGGAAAACAATCCAAGATCGAAGCGAGACCACACGATAGACGATGCAGGAACAAAACAGTACCTACAAAAATGATCTGAAACCGAATGCCTCCTCATAAACCTGTTTTGTGTGAAGTGCATTTTCTTGGGACTACATTGCAAGTGAAAATTCATTTGTATCAAAGGAGCATGGATTAGTGATTGCCCTATAAAGTTGAAGCTTGGTAACACCTTCAACATACATGCGGCTCGACACCATCAGATGCTCTTGGAACACACATGGAACCGTTTTAGACAAAGCTACAGAATGCAGATTGATGATCACGGGCGCGACGAGCTGAAAATGGAGCTCTCCCAACTCGCCCGTCTGAGTCCATAAGAGATTGAATAGCACCAGCATGCGGCTGCTGGAGAAGGGAGAGCCGGAGCTGGCAGTACGGGCCAAGGAGCTGGCAGACCGGGAGTATGGACGCCTGACGCGACTCCCTCCGGACGATCCCGCTCGGAAGCTCATTGATAAGACACCAACACCTAGACTACATTACAGAGCCCACCTCCATTGGATGCGAAAGAAACAGGAAGCCCAGGAGGTGGGAGTGCCGGCACCGTCGCCGCCAGATGAGGACGTTGCTGGCCTCCAGCATCGACCCTGTTTCCGACGAGTGGGGAAGTGGGTGTGCGAGGAAGCTGGACTGGGTGGAGTGCCCGTAGCCCCACTAACCCTGCACCAGGGAGAACCGCCGTGGAAGCAGTACAACACCAACGTCCACTTCGGCTTGAAGCTTCCGAAACCTACCAAGAGGACTGACCCACCAGAATTACGGAAGACTGCAACCCTGGAGGCCCTGGCCGCCTACCCAAATCAAGACCTCACAATCTGGTCTGATGGCTCTGTCCTAGACGGTACCAAGAAAGGCGGCGGAGGAGCCCTCCTCGAACTGCACCGTGAGGGACGCAAGATCAAATGTACCATACCGGCAGAAGTCGTATGCAGCAGCATGCAGGCGGAGCTGGCGGCGATGTCGGAGGCGTTAAAATGTTTCTTGGGACTGCACCCTCGCTGCCATTCGGTCTGTCCTGCTCTGCTCGGACTCCCTGTCCGGCCTCCAACTGCTCAGCCGAGGCCCAGCAGCGCAGGAATCGGCCGTGACACAGGGCATCTGGGCTCTCCTGCACTCTGCCGCGGCCGGGGGCAGAGCTATCAGTCTCCAGTGGATCCCGGGCCACGCAGGGGTCGAGGGTAATATAGAAGCGGACCGCCTAGCAAACATCGCGGCAACATCAGGTGACCAGCGTCGGATCCCAGTTGACCTGGCCTGTGCGCGCATCGCCATCAGACACTGGGCCGGCCGGCTAACCCTCGATCGCTCCAAGCATCACCCACATTTGGAGAACACCCCTGGCCACGACAACCTCGACCGATGGGGACAGACCACTGTCTCGCAGATCCGCAGCGGCTGCTCACCCCTGGTCCGGGCCACACTCTTCAGGATTGGCCTGGCCATCAGCTCTCTCTCTCTCTGCGGACAGTGCAGCGAAGAGGACACGGTCGTGCACCTGCTATGCGAGTGCCTGGCCGCGCAAGAACGCAAACCCGGCTCTGGGGGCCACTCCCCACCCTCTAGGATGTGCTCTCGGGGCCGGCTAAATACGTCACGGAGTTCCTCGACCGAGTGGGGCGGATCACGCTACCTGTGGACCAGCCCCGGTCTGCCGCGCCCTAGGGCACGGCCGGCAGTGCGCGGAAGAAGAAGAAGAAGGGAGAGCCGGCTGACGCATCGGAAGAGGTGCATCTATCCGAGTCCTGCGTCAGAACGACCAGTCGCTCTGCTCCGTCGACCTGGCCGGCGACTTCACGTACCGGCTGGTTGGCGTCGTACAACTTAACGGCGGTGCCAAGCACTCGGGATACTACCTATGTGCGTATGCCGCGTGGCGTGTACTGTACAGAATGGGACGGAACATATTGTATCATCACGACGAGACGCGTCCGCTGGATGGACGAGGCAGACGTCCTGGGCGAAGGCCACCGCCCAGGGTGCACAGAGTCACCGTGCCGGCGGCCGGCAGCCGAACGCCTCCTGATAGTAGCCGTGCTACATTATGTGTGTTCGCCTGTGCGTGTGTGTGTATACCTATGTATTTACCAAAAGAGATCAATACAACCAACCAGAATCAAATTCTCTCCGGTTAGTTGTTACGTGTTCTTCAATGCACGGGTATATGACGTCTAAGAACATGAATAACCACAATACATTGATAAGAACTTGGGACATAACACATGTGAAACCCTCTGTGACGAAATTTACGCCCACCTTATTAGGTACAGTCACCAGCACTTGCTACTAATCACCTCGTTTTTGTTCAGCAGTTTGAAGACCGATCAATTCTCAGTCGCGCAAGATCCGTCAAATGGTCCGTTTGGTCCTCCGATTTTCGAATATCTAACTTGTTTTTGTATAGTCGAAGCATTTTGGGATGGGGAGCCAAAAAACCTCTTTTCTGCCCTAAAGTGTGCCCCAAGAAGTCGTAGAACCTAGCCCCGCCTCTGATCCACAGACCACTAGTGCCATCTCTTGTCAGCCGAACAAACGGCAGAAGTAAATAATGTCACGTGACCTTTGCACACGCTACAATTACTACGCAGCCGTAGTGGGGGAAGCGGGGCGGAGGCGTGGAGAGGGACGCGATCGGTCGGCTGGGGTCAGGTCGCCGAGGTCAGAGGTCACCCGCCGGAGGGTGTTTGAGCGGTTGGGCCGTGTGGGCTGGGGCTTGCGGAGCGGGGAGCGCCTGGACCTGTCTGGAAACAAGTCCTACAACGCTGTGGCAGTTGAGAATATTGTGAGGAAAGAGAGAGAGAGAGAGAGAGAGAGAGAGAGAGAGAGAGAGAGAGAGAGAGAGAGAGGGGGGGGGGAGAGAGGGAGAGGGAGAGGGAGAGGGAGAGAGAAGGAGAAAGAGAGCGTTGCATGGAAAGAATGGGACCAAAAGTCGGCAGTGCCCCCCCCCCCCCTTGAAGGTTTTCCGCCGCTACTGAATGGGGATGATGTTGAGGGTCTCGCAAATACTTCATAAAAGAAATGCTATTTTTTGCACAAACTATTAATTTTTTTTTGACGTTTGCTATGGAAATGTTAGGCCCAGTTCCTTCAAGATCAGGTCCACGACTCCACAGCTTACAACAGGAGCTAACTAACATAATAATTAGCCCGCGCCGTGTTGGTGATATGATCTTTCCGTCGAGTGCTGGGGGGGGGGGGGGGGCGTTTCACGCCCCTCCGTCTAACTCGGTTCCTGGGCCACGTAGCGACACGCGGTATGCGGCAATCGAAAGAGCGTTAAAAATAAGGAGGAAAACACTTCGGTCATTTAAAGGTCAGGGCAAAGGTCCGGTCACCAGGGTTCATCAAATGTCAAATTTTGTTGATTTTAACGATTTTGAACACCCGACGGCTAACTCGGGAACCAATAGAGCTACAGCGCCGCGGAAAAGCGCATTCGATAGCTCTTTTAACGCTCTTTCGCCAACATGTCCTCAAATTTGACCTCAGATCAACGCTTTAACCCCTAGAGAGCACCGTTCTGAATGACCTCAAATTTGACCTAAGATCAACGGTGTTTTCACCGCTCAAGCACGTCTCTGTCAAAAGTAAAAAAACTGCTGAAGACCTTTTATGTCTTAA